CTGGATGAAAGTGCACTTTCACTCTCTGACAGCAGATGGCGCTCAACAGAAATAATAATAATAATAATAATAATAATAAATAATTTAAATGCAGCTGTTACCCCGGAAACCCTGTAAACAGAGCAGCTGCACTACTTTCTGTTTCTGAAAGGTGTTTAAATTATTTAAACAGCCATTCAGATTTGTGTATTTGCTATGATGTTCATCACAGAGCCAAATACTCACACTTTACATTAGGGCTTCATTAGTTAACATTAGTTAATTCATTAGTTAACATAAACTGCCAATTAAAAATTCTTCAGAACATTCATTAATCTTAGGTAATTACAATATTTAATAGCAGGTTGTTAAAATTGAAAGTTGTAACTGTGTTATTTAATGAGCTAACATGAACTAAGACTTAATAACTAATAATTAATAACTTCTGTAGCAAATGTAGCTATTGCTCATTGTGAATGTTAATGCATTAACTAAGGTTAACAAATGAGGTCTTATTGTAAAGGGATACATATTGGTCTTTATAGTTCTTTTGCACTTTAATCTGTGTAAAACTTTTAGCTTTATACATTTTTCTGTATTGCTTTATTGCATTGAAATGTTCAGTTATTTTTGTTAAAAGAAAAAGTTATTAAACCTGTTGTACTGTATTATGACAGCACTTTATTTTTAAACTAAATTTCAATACCGCGATAATACCGTATACCGTGATAAAAGCATTAGCAATTAATCGCAACATGAAAATTTGATACCGGCATATCCCTAGTGTATATACATATATATATATATACACATTTTTTGCCACCGTGTCTTTGCTTTGATTAGAATGGCATACCTGTTGTTGTCACAGCACTTGATTCTTGTATTAGGTGTTGCACCATTGTAAGCAAGCGACATGTTGTCTAGCAAATTCACAGGTGATGTTTCTTTAGCACTCATTTTTGAGCCACAGAGTATAATTTGAAGCACAAAACACTCATTTGTGATTCCGAAAACACACTTATTACAACCAACAGTTGTTACTGAAAGTTCTGAAGACCGTTTAAAGAGCTGTAATTTGTTATTGCATTTATGCGCATTTTATTTATTGTGCAGCCCTACTGTGTGCTTTCAATGCAAGACAT